GCGGCGCTTGTCACTGCACATGTGTTTGCTGTATCGGGATATATCGGGATATATCGTATCGTGACCCCTCTGTCATGATATGTATCGTATCGCCAAATTCTTGCCAATACACAGCCCTAGTAATTTCCTGGTGTCCCATCCGTTACATCAAGCCAACGTTGGCTCGGTCGTAGCAGCGGTGGCCGAACTGAGGAATTTGAAAAATTGTGGCCCTTGTTGCTCACATGCGGCGCTTGTCACTGCACATGTGTTTGCTGTATGGAGAACTTAAACATGGCAAAGGTTACAGATTTGTTAGCAAAGCAGGGGAAAAGGCGAGCTGTGATCAGTTATTTAACAGCCTGGAAACCCTAGTAGGCAATGTACCCAGCATAATTTCAAGAATAATTGAAAAAGCTGGTTATAATCACATGTGACATAAGAGTGAAGCTGATGTTAGTTTAGGGTCAAAGTTTTATGCTTCAGCTTCCATCCTTGTGCACATTTTGTTCCTTTAGGTGTGCGTTAGGGGTGGACTTTAGTGCGCCCTGTGCTATTCTCATTTTTTTCCTCCTTTTACTACCACTCTCAGAATCTCTGAAACATTGATCCACAAGTTCCGTTGTCTGTGTGACTCAACACATCGTCAATATACTCATGCTGCTGTATACAACCAATGAAACAAAGATTCCTAATACTAAACAATGAATTGGGGATTTCTGTCCTTGCTGCTTTTTGTGACTGAGCACAGCAGTGCCATTGTAACCTCTAGTCTCTGCTCGCTCCTGCCTGTATGCACGCTCTCTGTTAACAAGTGTGATTTTTGACTCGTCTTGGTGCGACGAACTATAGCAGAGATTYCTGTTAGTTTTTGTAGACTTCACCCCCCCACCCCCACGTCTTGTCCTCCCCAGTTTTTGATCCCACAGCTGGATTCTCCTGGATGTGGGGAGTTGGTGGCCCTGCTGTTGTAAACGTTGCATGTTTGTGTGTTTTTTAACTCCTCAGTGTGAGGATAAAACACTGGATGGTATCTTCTTTGTTCAGTGATCTTGAAGCTTTCTTTCTCGCACTTTAATGCACACTTCCACGTTGTAGTTTTTGTGCAGTCTGTGATAATTGGAGGTGTTTGAGGGGTGTGGCGTGTGAAAATAAATTACACATTTTTGGAAACTCGGCTTAATCATTGCAAGTGATTTTTTTTCTTCTTTATTTCCATCTTAACGCAGCATTTCAGTCTACTTGAGTTGGGAATGTAGCTAAAAAATCTTCAGCCTTGCTGTGATTTAAGCGGACGTCAGCAGGATCGAGTGCTTCAATTTTTAACTTGTGCCTCTTTCTCTGCACCTTTTCTGGCAGTGTTTGTATTAACTATTTGTTTCCATCCCCCACCCCGCTTCCTCCCTGTGTTTTCTCTCCAGAAGCTGTAAGCTGCAGATCAGGAACATCCCGCCTCACATGCAGTGGGAGGTGAGTGCTAACAGGCCGCTAACTGCTTCCAGGGTGTGGCATCATCGGCCAGCTCAACTGGGCTCTGGTTTAATGGCCTCAGGAGCCACCTTGCCTTCGGATTTCAATTGAGCATGCACTTGATTTGTTAGGTGAGAGCTGAAGCTTGTGTCAAGCGGGGTGTAATAAAAAAATGCTCTGGATAACAGGCGTAGAAGTCTGTTTGCGTTGTCTTTTTACATATTTTATCAACACAGGCGAATCTGTCATTGACAATAAGGAGTAAAAAGGATAAATCAGAGCAGTGTGTGAAGTTTGATCCAAAACAGGAAGGGTTTGCCTTTTTATTTAATTTTGTTCTACATTTTTAAAGAAACATTGGCTTTAAAGGTGCACTTGCTGGGGTCTTTGTTGGATTGTTTTGTCCCTTTTGTATTGAAATAGCTCAAGTGATGCTTCAGCCTGCAAATGGAGAAAAATCTCAAATTTGTACTTTAATTTAAAATGCTCTCTTTTTTTCATACTCCTTTAAATTCTGGTGCTCATTTTAGGATTTGTTTCATTTGGCTTGAGTTGGATGCAGTGAAATGGTGCAGAATAAAGTAATATTAAAAATATACTGCATTTTTCTGGATGTATCCTTTAAATTGCTGTATGCCTTTTTCAAATTGCTCCACATTCTGGACAAAAAAAATTGAATTAATTTTTAGCGTAAGCCAAATTTTGAATGGCATTACACTTTTTTACACACACTGATTTCTGCTGGATTTATAATCAGAAATCTTGAATTAAGACAGTGTAAGATAGAAATAAAAACACCTAGAGTTGACTGGAGCTGTGTAAAACTATGGGTGTGGATTTAAAGAAAATCACCTGGAAAAAAAAATATTTGATTTGATCATGTAAAACAGTGTGTGATTATGTGACGTGGGTTCAGGCAGGCTTTCTAGAKGATTTAAACTGTGCTGAGGTGGAAAAACGCTCCGTCTGTGTTAAATCTCCTAGCGCAGACCACTGCTGTAGTTTAAAAGGGTTAAAGTGTGAAATGGTTCCTCAACAATGATGAGCTGCAGGATGGTCAGTTCATGACCTAATTAGTGAAAAGATTTGGACGTCAGGTCTTGTGTGCGTACATTTAAAATCTTCAAGATTTATTCTCTACTTGAGTGTTTTTATGAAAATAAAAAAATAAAAACATGCAAATGATGAGCAAAATTGTAGATTTCTACCAGACATTACGCTAACCGTGTTGAAATTCTTGCAGTTTACGTGATTCTTTTTTTTCCCCCTCCCTTACGTTTCACTTTGTTCTGCAGGGGTTTAGCTGTGAAACCACGTGCTTGGTAGTGTTCAATAAAATTTTCTCCTTTATAAACACAAAGAGAGCCAAATGAGAATTATCTTATTGTTTTGTTGTTCAGAGCTGTTGAAAATCTTGAGGTTATTGCACGCCTTGGAGGTTTGATTCCGTTTCACAAACTGATCAAATGGCTCCAGACAAGCTTGTAATGGTGGGCTCACTTTTACGCATGTCCCTTTACTGCGCCTCCAGATCCACCCGTGTTTCTAGCATGTAGCGAGCCAGCTCTTAGCTTTTCTCAAACGGTGTCGTGGAGGCCATCTTCCTGCACTTAGGGGCTGGGATTGTCTACATGAAGGCACAGAATATGGTGATTCTTTAATGCAAAGGCCTTCAATGTATCTTAGAGGGTAGATAAGACGATGAAGTGTACGTGAGTACGTGTGCGTGTATGTTCAGCCATGCTGCAAGAGAATAGTGGCAGAGAGTAGTGGTGTGTTCACAAGCAGTTGTGGGTGGGTGGGTGGGCCTGGACTGTTTCCCTTTCCCCTCCATGTGCGCTGATTCACAGAATGTGTAGCATGAACCAACACCCCTCCCCCTCAGCTGCTGCTGCTTCCTGCTGGAATGTACCCCACCCTTTCCTGAATGGCCCGGATTCCCATTGGCCCGCTCCGGCAGACGGACGAGCGAAGGAGCCAGCCAGCAGGCAGGAAGGCTCGACTCCAGGAAACATGGGAGCAGCCAATGGCGAGGAGGGCAGATGGCAGGGAGGCGGGAGGTTTCCTGGTTGGTGGGTTATCAGGGCTGGGGAGGTGGGGGCTGGTGGGCGCAGTCTTGTTGGTTAGAAAAGTAGGGTTGAGCTTGTGGGGGCGTGGCCTCCGCTTCAGCTAAGCGTGGTCAGAGGTCCCAGTTGGAATCCTCTCTCGCCTGCATGTGGTCACATTTATGAAGTGAAACGAGATGGGATTCCAGATTTGCGCCGCTTATTGCTCATTTGATTTTAAGACTAATTACAAAAAAAGCATCCTAAAATGTATAGTTTTATGTGGGGAAAAGGAATGTTTAAGTGATTTTATTTATTTAYTTCAAGGTACAACTTAAAATCTAGAACAAAGCAAGCAAATATTAGCAGTAAGAGTTTAAAAAGAGTGCATAAAACAATGTTTGGTTCAGGAGAAATTGGTCTAATCATATTGAAAAGTTTCTCCACAAATATCCAAGCCAACAAGTAATGGGGTTATTTATGTTTTGTCTTGTTTCAGGTTTTGGACGGTATACTAGCTCAGTATGGTGCAGTAGAGGGCTGTGAACAAGGTAAATACATCAGTTCAGTTGTGCTGCATGTCTGCAAAAAATGTTCAAAAGTAATCAGGATGTTTATAGAAAATAAACCTGAACTGTAATTATTGCAAACACTTGACAATTTTTCATTGCGAACTCTGCAACCTAAAATTTAGGTTAACATCAAGTCTTTGTTTAAATATATATAATATATATTTGCATTTTGGCCTCCCATTTTGTGCTTTCACCTCCTTGGTCCTATTATCTCTCAGCACATTGGAAGTTATAAAACTGAGAATCTAAGTTGACAAATTATTTAATGTCGGTTATACCTGCACATTTATGCATCAAGTACATATTTTTCACAATTTTGATTTTATAATTTTCCACCTTCCTAAATTTTTTTTAGTTTATTATCAGGAATCTCAAAAAATGTCATAAGGGACACTTTTGGTTAAGTTATTTTGCATTTCCTGAAAAACCTTTGGGAAAAAAACTTTTTAGGAAGGAGTTAAACACTCTGTTGACAAGTTCACACTGTGGTTGACCTTTTGTCATTTCTGCATCCTGTGGCTTTTGTTTAGTTGAAACAGTCATTCCAAATCTTTGTATAGACTCACTCTAAGASAAGAAAAGTCATTTTAAAAGATAACAGGTAAATTGTAGCTATATTAAAAAAAAAAAGTAAAATAACAGCATCTGTAGCCTGAAGTTTTGTTCTATTGGACAGGAAATTTTCAGCTTCTGAGCAAATATGTGTAAAACATTGTACTGCCATAAAAACAATGTATTTAAAATTAAAGATGTAAATGAGTAACTTTATTGTTGCAAAGGCTAAACTTTTCACCTGTCAGCTGTGATCTTTCAGGTAAGACTATAATAATAATCATTTATTCTGATTGAACCAGGATTAATTTAGGAAATCTGCTTCAGGTGTTTCATGTGGATGCCACTTAAAACTTTACTGTACAAAAATCTCCTGAAAGTCCTGACAAGATGGAGTGTTTTCTGTAACACTTTGATATCTGGGGTTTTTAATCAGTAAAACTGTTTTAGTCTGACATTTCAATCATATTCCAGATCAGAGCAGTCTTGTGCTCTGGAACAAATGAGACTAGATAAAGCCTAGTATTCCTTTATTTACCAAGACGTTTTTAAAAAATACCTTCAGCACACATTACAAGAAGATAACTCTGAAAGAGAAGCGAATTACCAGATCTGACCTGTGTGTAGTTCTGATCTGTGTCCTGTGGATCATGTGTGGAGAATTTAGAAAACAAGAAATGTGTGATGGGGCCCTTCATACAATAGATGTTTGTGCATTACCTAAAAAAAATGTTGCCTAATGTTTGCTGTTTCTGAAAAATCATGGGTTCATGTGGTGAAAGCTTTTCTCTTCCACCGGCTTTTTTTGTAATATGAAAAACTAAAATTTATTTTTGGCATTTTTAGTACCTGCCATGTAAAAATCCAAGCCAGCATTTAATGTTCAGTTCCTTGTGATGGTTTTGAATCGGCAAATATTTAAAAACAAAACGATGTAAATGAAACCTAAAGCTGGGAGGGAACGTAAAATGTTTTGAATTCAAACTGTTGCATTAAAAAAGGGATTTTAAAAATGTGTTCATACATACCACTTTTAATCTTGTACTTCATAGTGTAGTTTGTTAAATATGCATGAATAAGCTCTGTTTATGTTCTTTCATAGTAAACACTGAGACAGAAACGGCAGTAGTCAATGTTCGATATGCAACAAAGGAYCAAGCGAGGCTGTAAGTATCATTCTGACTCACTTTGTTTCTATCTTTTGGGCTATGTTTTTTGGACACATTACTTTATCTTGTAGTTTTTTTTTTTTTACAATATACCAGATTTTCTTCACTCTTAAAGCATTCTAAGTAAATTTAGCTTTCTGTGAGAGGTGGGAGGGGGTAGCACGTGCTTGTAGATTAAGTGTGTTGGGGAGGAAAGGGTTTAATTTAACAAAGGGCTGCCCCCTGGTGTACGTAAATCAAATTACATTGCTGTACTTTGAGGGGTTTTGTTGTACGCTTTTACGAAAAAGACAAACACCATCCTTGAGGTTTGGAGGATGACATCAGTACATTTTTAGTTGTCTGAAGTGTCTTACTTTCCTCAGAGCGATGGAGAAGCTGAATGGATATATGATGGAGAACTATGCCTTGAAAGTATCGTACATCCCGGACGAGACGGCTACACCGGAAGGTTCCACGACAGGAGGCAGGAGAAACTTTAATTCTCGCGGACCTCCCCGTTCGGGTTCTCCTGGCCTGGGTGCACGGCCCAAAGTGCAGTCCGACATCCCTCTGCGCATGCTGGTCCCCACGCAGTTCGTAGGGGCCATCATTGGCAAGGAGGGGGCCACTATCCGCAACATCACCAAACAGACCCACTCAAAGTACGTACACGGAGGTCAGGACATCAATGGTTTAAAGTCAATAAATTTATTTGTTTATTTTGAAGAAATGCTGATTGGTCACTTTTTGTTTGGAACAGAATTGACATCCATAGAAAAGAGAATGCAGGTGCAGCAGAAAAACCCATCACAATTCACTCCACCCCTGAAGGCTGTTCGAACGCTTGCAGAACCATCATGGAGATCATGCAGAAGGAAGCTGTCGACACAAAATTGTGAGTTATAGGCCGAACGCTTGTTTCAAACAAATCTTTGCTTTCATCACCCCTGTACTTGTGAGAAATCCAATGGAGCCATTTAAAAAAAAACATTTGTTTTAAACCGTTTGACCAAACGACCTGCTTCAAATATCTCATTTATCTCTTTGAGATGTAATTCAACTGATTTGTAGTTGTAATTCAACTGATTTGTAGATTATGTGGCAAATGATTTCATAACCAGAGCTGCTAAAATGTTGTATGCCCAAAAACAAAACTTCAACAAGAACAAATTGAAGTTGTCTTGGTGTAGAAAGCTTTCTATATACACCATGTTTTCACCCTTTTTCCCCTTCTCTGTTCAGAAAAATATGTTAGTAATGGGATGGAATTATCAGATCTTATTGAGCTATCTGGACACAGTGGATAGTTTTTTATTGGTCACATTTCAGTGTCGTGTATTTGAGTGTTTTAGTGTTTGTGGAGGATTTGACATTTTTTATCGATCTTGTACAGCACGGAGGAGATCCCATTGAAGATTCTTGCACACAACAACTTTGTAGGAAGGTTAATAGGAAAAGAAGGACGCAACCTGAAGAAAATTGAGCAGGACACAGGGACCAAGATTACAATCTCACCGTAAGACACTAAAAACAGTTTTCAAGCTCACAACAGTGCTAATTTTATAGTATTTTTTTTGTAGTAAAGTTGTACAAGTGCCAGATGACAGTAATTTTTAATGTTCTTCAATTTGTTTTTAAAACTTTGCACTCAAGGCACATTACTGTTTACACTTTTATTTTAAATTTTGGCCTTCAGTCTTCAGGATCTGACTCTGTACAACCCGGAGCGGACCATCACGTTAAAGGGCTCCATCGAGGCGTGCTCAAATGCCGAGCAGGAAGTGATGAAGAAAATCAGGGAGTCGTACGAGAGCGACATGGCTGCTATGAATGTAAGCATCTCCAGCACTCACCAGACTGCAGTGTTATGTATGTCTGCTCAAAACAGAAACAAATCTGTTTGAGGAGACACAAACCAAGTGACTGAAAGCCTTTAAGGACGTAAAACCTAATGGTTTAAAGCAGATCAGTTGTCATGGGGGTACTTTAATATTCATACTATCTGTTTACATACACACAATGCGTACTTGTGCTTTTTACCAGGAAAAGATGAATAAAAAGGGTTATCTTGGTATTTTAAATAACAATTTTCGACTATTTGAATAGTCGCTGAGAGGTCGCTGAGGTGGTCAAAAAGCTCCTCGGTGGCAAGGCCCCGGGGGTGGATGAGATCCGCCCGGAGTTCCTTAAGGCTCTGGATGTTGTAGGGTTGTGTTGGCTTACGCGACTGTGCAATATCGCATGGACATCGGGGGCAGTCCCCCTGGATTGGCAGACTGGGGTGGTGGTCCCCCTGTTTAAAAAGGGGGACCGGAGGGTGTGCTCCAATTACAGGGGGTCACACTCTTAAGCCTCCCTGGTAAGGTCTATTCGGGGGTCATGGAGAGGAGGGTCTGTCGGATAGTCGAACCTCGGATTCAGGAAGAGCAGTGTGGTTTTCGTCCTGGTCGTGGAACACTGGACCAGCTCTACACCCTCAGCAGGGTCCTGGAGGGTGCATGGGAGTTCGCCCAACCAGTCTACATGTGTTTTGTGGACTTGGAGAAGGCGTTAGGATCGCATCTCTGCTTTTTGCGGATGATGTGGTCCTGTTGGCTTCATCGGAACGAGATCTGCAGCTCGCGCTGGAGTGG